CCAAAGGGGATATATAAAAAACTTAGTATTTATCAAGACAAAGATGAGCAATTATCTGATGAATTTGAGTCATTTGGTTTGGGTGAGCGTGTTGTATTGAATTTGACGAAAAACGAGTGGAATAAAATTAAAAAATTATTTTTCGACAATTATTTTACTTCATTGCCATTGCTAGAAAAATTAAAAGCAGAAAATTCACTAGCATGTGGGACAATCCGATCAAACCGTAAAGATATCCCGGAATTATCTGAAGATAAAAAAGCGCCTAGAGGTTCATCAGATTATCGCATTACCAACACTGGTATTGGTGTTTACAAATGGAAAGATACCAAGTATGTTATGTTAGCATCAAATTATCATGGTTCAGAAATAACAACTGTTACAAGAAAGGATAATTTTGGTCGAAAAAAAGATATTCTATGTCCAGAAGTTGTTCATGATTATAATTGTTATATGGGTGGTGTAGATCATGCTGATCAACTTAGAACAACTTACGGTGTTAACAGAAAATCAAAAAAGTGGTGGTACCGAATATTTTGGGGTTTATTAGACATTATGTTTGTAAATTCGTATGTGGTATACATGCAAATACATGGAAGTATTACTTTATTGGATTTTCGTCGTTCAGTCACACAAGGACTTTTGACTTTACGAGAACTTCCTAAATCAAATAAAAGACAGTCAACTTCAACACCAAAAAAGAAAGGTCCGGCAACAAAGAAGAGGAGAGGAAAAGAATGAAAAGAATGGTCAGTGTCAAAAGATGTGCGTTTAACCAATCGAGGAATTCATTGGCCAAAATTTGTTACTAATCGAGGACGTTGTGAAGTTTGTGCTATAAACGGAACTCAATCATGACCATATTCAAAATGCTCCCATTGCAATGTATTTTTATGCTGTAACGATAAAAAAAATTGTTTTGCGGACTATCATGATATAGATTGTTCATAACTAGTATAACTCATATGCATAAAAAATTATTATACCTAATGTGTTCATAAGCATAATGTAAAATAACTACTTTTTTTTTTAATTATAATATTTTTATTTGACTGATATGGAGTTATGATTTTCTTTTTATTTAACCAGCATATAAATCGACACCTATTAATTTCCATGATAAAAAAGTTTTTGGTAACAAAATAATTCATATGGTATTGACCTAATAATATAACATTTTTTAGACTAAAATACTTAATTTACACTTAGGAGCTATTGAGGTTTTTAATTTATATGTTAATATTTAAAAAAAAAAACTTTTATGCTTATTTTTATTAAAAGTAATATTTTTAGAAATAAGAGAAGAACATTTTTTTTTTCTAAAGTCGTAAATAAATTTTGGTATATTCCACATGTTAAAAATTATATGGCAAAATTACTGTTGGTACTTAAAAGTACCATTAAAAAAAAACCTAGATGACCGACGGTACTTCCAAGTACCATGATCCTAACTCAAATTTGATTAAAAAAAAAAAAAAAAACCAAAAAAAACTTTAAAAAATATTTTAATTCGATGCTTGGTCAACAAAGGGTTAAAAAAAAAAAAACAATGAAAACATATAGTTAATCTTTGTTTTTTTCAGGTACAACATTTATACAATACATTTTTGTCTTAACACATATTCTCGATTTCACATTTAAAATCACTAATAATAAACAATCTTTTTTAAAATTTCTTAACTTACTGACCAACAAATAGTTATTATTTAAAAAAAAAAAATACATTAAATCTACTTTTATTTAATTCATTGACACATTAACAAATAACATTATACAAAATTCTTACTTATTTAATTATATACTTAAAATTTATTCGGAAACAATACTATTTTACTATTTTAACATTTAAATATACCAACTAAATTATTTAATAACCCAATTATATTTTCATATAAATAACTTTTCTAATTATTAATGCATAATTATGAATGATTTGTCAAAATTCATTAAAAAAAAAAATCTTATATGAATTGTATTTCAAAAATATAGGTCCCTATTTGAATTTTAAAAGTTAACCCTAAAATCTTCTCTTCTTTTTAATTAATAAAAAAATAATTAATATTAAATTAGTTTAGGTTATATAATTTAAAAAGGTTTTTACACAAGTCATTTTTTTTCTAATTTAAGTATATCATGTTTAAATCTGCTGTCATGTGAAATTTGGAACACTCTGTATACAGTGCAGCTATAGACAGTTGACCATAAATGAGTAATGATATAATATAACATTCTGAGAATGTTATGACAGTTCTTTTTTCATAAAAGATAATAATAATAAAATATAATTAGGTAATTATCAAGTGATTTCTAAGATGTTTGTAACTTCATCAAAAAATGTCTAAATCAGCGGTTCTCAACCGGAGGTCCGCGAGAAGGTATTAGGGGATCCCCGGATAAAAAAAGCGTAATGGCAGAAAAAATGAAATTTGTTGTAATTAATTGAAATTACTTATGAAGTATTATAAATGTTGTAAATACGTTTTTTGTAATTAATGCTATGTAGTATAAGTGTATAATAAGAGTATAATACTAAAATAGGTATAATATATTATTCTAGGCTGGTGGCACGATTAGATTGTATGTAATCTGGTAATGTGGCGTTCCTCGTTAAAATTACATACCATTTTTATCTTAAATTCAGATAAAACCATTCCTGTGAACAGTTTGTTTGATATTTGTATTCCAATAATTAGTCAGTCGCTTGCTTTTAAAGAGACCGTGTCACATAACAACGTATTTCTAATTACTATTTTTTTCTTTTTTGACATTGTTTAACATTTTCACAATTTTCAACCATGGATCATTGGTTAAATACTGGTAGCGTCAGTAAAAGGAAAACTACTGAATCAACCGATCCCATTCATACACAAGAAGTGTCGTCATCAATAACTAATATTTCCGCAAAAAATCTTAAGAAGTTACCACAGGTTAGTGATACTAAATTTCTAGAGCCGGGAAAGATTATGAAATATTCAGAAGAATATTTGTGCCACGGGTTTTCATTTATTACGATTGATAATGTTGCTAAACCTGAATGTGTTATCTGTGGGGAAGTACTAGCGAATAGCAGTTAAACGTTTGCTGGAAAATAAAAATAAGTGCAATATGCAAATCTGCCCTTCTTCAGGTAATGCTAACGTTGATGTTGTTGAAGCATTGTTTCGAATTAGTTATATCACCAGAAGTGGTAAAAATCACATAATCAGTGAAAATTTGATTTTGCCAAGCATTAAAAAGGCAGTTCATTGTATTTTCGGAAAAAAATACGTTCATAAAATAAATGCTATCCAACTATCAAATGACACAATCAGTCGTAGAATCAAAGAAATTTCTTATGATATTGAAGAGACAATATTAAAAGACATCAATAATAGTGAATTGTTTTCCATTCAAGTGGACAAGAGTACTGATGTAGCACAATTAGCTGTTTTATAGTTATTGCAAAGTTTATAAAATAAAATGAAAGCGAAGAAGGTCTTTTGCTCTGCCATCCTTTAATTGGACGCACAACAGGTGCAAATATTTTTCATGCTATTAATTCTTACTTAGCCGAAAAAAAAATAAAGTGGTCACAATGCTGTGGTTTAATTACTGATGGTGGCAAGTCTATGTCAGGTTGTTACTCTGGTCTTCTTGCGCGTATAAAGGCAGTATCCTCACTAATAAAATGGATCATAGTTGTATCCATCGGCAAGCTTTTGCATCGAAACCTCTTCCTGCAGATTTGAAGGACATTCTGGACGATTCTTGTAAAGTGGTCATTTTTATTAAGTCTCGCCACACGAACTCCAAAATATTTTCTTTATTGTTTGAAGACATGGGAAGTCTTCACAAAACCCTCCTTCTTCATACCAAGATTCGATAGTTATCACAAGGTAAAGTCCTTACTTGTTTGTTTGAACTTAGGCATGAAGTTCAAATATTTTTTGAAGATCATCCTTTTCGACTGTCATCAAAATTTAACGACTATGAATGGCTTCAAAAACTAGCATACTTATCCGATGTTTTTTTGAAATTAAACAATCTTAATTGACTCCTCAAAACAGTTTAGTGACAATATTCCAAGTTAATGGCATAATAGAATCTTTTGTTAAAAAGTTAGAGTATTGGAAAATGTGTATTGAGAATAACCAACCAGAAATTTTTGAAGTACTGCATAATTTTCTCTGTGAAACTGTTATGAATTTATTATCACAAGGCATCAAACATCAAATTGTTCAACATTTGAATGCGCTTAAAACAGCTTTTGAAAAACACTTTCATAAATGTGGAAAAGAAGACCACTGGACTATGTTCCCTTTCAGTGAAATTTATTTCAACTCCGCAGTTTTAAAGAAAAATTGATTGAACTGAAAACGGATTCTTCACTCCAGGCAGCATTTCTTGAAAAAAAATCACTTATCACCTTTTGGGCTAATGTGAAAGACGAATATCCTGAGTTTTCTTACAAAATATTCAGTGTTTTACTACCGTTTACGAGCTCTGTATTAGTAGAGAGAGCTTTTTCATCATACACATTTATTAATTATTATAAATAAGTACCGCAATAGACTCCCTGTGAGTTCAGACTTACGAGTTTATTTATCATCCGTGGAGCCAGATTTCAAAAAATCAAGTGCTAGCAAACATGCTCAAGGATAACTTTAAATTTTTAACTTAATATTATTTTTAGATATACAATATACTGCGCATGTTTATCAAAATAAATAAATATTTCAAAATTTTTCATTATTAAACTTATTTTGTAAATTCATATCTATCTTATGTGAAAATATATGACAAATTGGCATTTGGAGGTCAGGAAAGTAGTGTTGAGTGATCAAAGAGTGCGTGAATGAAAAAAGGTCGAGAACCGCTGGTCTAAATCAATCTTGCTGTAGAAGGGTAATGTCCTATTAAGATTTTAAATTGGACCAGAGTAACCAAGAGGCTAAATTATCCGTACATACTATTTTTTTTATAGTTATCTATAAACGTAAGCTACTACAATAAAATCATACCATAAATATAGGCTTCTACAATAGAGCTTTTTATATCCGGTATTGGCTTATTTTTATTTTCTTTCTTGAACTGTTTCAACAACGGCAGTTTACAAATCATTTCATTCACTGAATTTTTGGGATAAGTGATTTTCTTTCTCATTGTGTTATTTTTTTCGTTGTGCAGCTATGTTAGGTAAATCATATTCTTAAGTTCAATTACCATTTACATGATTTCAAATTTATATAATATTAATTTGTATTAAAATTTTTTTGCAATAATTTGCAAAATAAAAATAGAACTCAGTTAAAATCCATAGTTGTAATTAAAGAAAAAGATAAAAGCAGATAATGTAGATTCTAATTCATAAATAAGGAATAAGTTTTTTTAATATGTTTTAAATTTGAATTCAATCATTAAATATTATGTACAAAAAACTATTATTAACGACGATGATCTTCGTCAGCTTATAAAATACTATATTTAAACAAATAAATTAAAGAACAACAATTTAATGTTGCTTAAATCTAGAATCGTTGAACTGATTTTAATCGTTACTATACGATTTATATAAAGAATCTAGTATCACTTAATATGTAAAAGTTGAAAAGTTTAAGATTATAAATTAATGTCATTTTTTTTTTTTTAACGATGCTTATAACTTGTTTAATTTAATTACAAAAAATGAGGTCTTGAAATATTATTAAATAAATGTATAACTGACATTTGGTTAGTGAGAATTTTACATCAAAAACATAATTAAAACGAAATACCATGATTTCAATGTCTGGGAATCTATTTATTGGAGTATTTATTTACCTCATTTTCAAGTTGTAGCTTTATAGTTTTCATTTTGTTATACATAATTTGTTTTCTTACATTTATATTGTGAAATTTAACCTCTTTCACTTTAATCCATGGGTGATGAGCTAATTGTTTTAAATAGGGAGATGTATATTTTATATTCGATTTCGTCAATTTTGGAAATTTCATGTATTCGACTAGAATCAGAAATTTGATCAACATTATAATCCACACAAAAAAAAGTTGGTATGAAATATTTTAATGTTTTATTTAATTTGGTCGCTGTAAGTTTAGAGCGGTGAATTGGTCTTAGTATAATATCGTCGATCGTCATAAAGTCATTTATATATTAGATCGCATCATTTTAAATTATTGTCGTCCATATGACGGTATCTAAATTATTGGTAAAATGATATGTTTATGATTAGACAATTTATCGATAAAATCCTATGATTTCTTATGTTTCATTTTGACTTTGTATTTTAATGTCAATCTATCGTCAACGCTTGTTACGATTTGTACCCTTTTATACAAATATACAGTGTCATATATTTTGATTTAAACTGATCTAGACTTTAAAAAAATTATTATAAAGAGTGCAAAACTTGAATATACGGGTATGATGTTGAAACCAAGGATTAATCATTACAAAGGAAATCATCAATTTCTCCTAGACCAAAAACAGCAAGGCAAGTGCATGGCCGTTCAGAGGGGGGGGCAATGGGAACATTTTGCCCCAGGCCCCATTGTTGTAATATTTTTAGGGGGCCCCCAAAAAGTCTTGATGTATAATAATTAAAAACAAAGAACTATCACCGACCACCGTTATTGAGACAAAAATAATCTGCTTTGCGTCATCCACATAAATATAATATTAATACTTAAAATAAAATTAAAATATAATTTATTACTGTCTTATACAGTCATACAATGCGCGAGTAAGAGCATGACGACCAGTCACGTAGTCAAAACAATCTCCTCCACCGCACCGCTCGACTATGCCGTCGTTTCTACTTAATAATATTTTAATATATTAGTATAATGTGTATAGTATATGTGTGTAGTATAATGTGGATAGATCGCGATAACGATACTTGATTTGCTACGATAGGCGATGGTGCACGCAGCACTCGATATTTTTAGACAAAAACCTATAACCGATACATTGTAGAATTGACTATTCTGTATAGTAAACCACAACCTACACGGCCGCACCATTCGGTTGCTAATTACTCGACAGTCGATGTGTAACACACTACCACAGTGTCCCTGTATTTTTATAAATTTATTACTAGCACAGTAAATAGCGATTAGCAGAAACACCAATATTAGTAAGTAATAATTGATTGAAATATGTACATATTATTCTTTATTTTTATTGAAATGATTAATTTTTAATATTTCTATTAGTCTTTAAAGTAGTCTATCTTCGTATTGGGACATTAAGCTATAGTCTGTATCATTATATCTACCTGTACTTATAGAATAATACTAAATTATACCCTAATACGGTTATACCTATTTACATTCATAATTACATGTTAAATTTATTGAAGATAAATGTTTTTAAATTTTTTTTTACTTGTTATCTAAATATTTCATAGCATTTTCCAGTGGCGGACTGGGAGAAAAAAACATATTATAAAATATTATAATAATATTATTTAAAAAATATAAAAATGTATTCATTTATATATGTGGTTTATAATTGAATAAAATATATCCTATTATATTATTTAAACGGGAGACTTTTTTTCCGTTTACCGCATTCGATTACTTAATTTAATTTCTAATAATTTATTTAAAACAATTAATTAAATTAATATAATTTACTTACACTACTTATGTTGTGTGACTTTAGAGTTGTTAATAATAAAAAAATAATGAAGCGTGTGTATTTATCGGGTGCTGCGAAGAAGAAGGCAAAAAATGAAAAAAAACTTAAAGAAGATAAAGGAAAACGTAATTTACATGATTTCGGTTGGTGTACGTCAAGTAGGAACTTGGCTCAAAATGATATAAACGAGCAACAATGTGATATTGATGACCCCAAAGTATTAGAAAATGAAAAAACCATAAATATTCATGTAGGAGAGTCCAAAAAAAGTAAAATTGATGATACAGTTGTTCCATATCCAAAAGAAATTAATGAAAACGTTATTAACACACAAAATAATGAGGTAGTTAAATGTATACCAATGAACGAGAATGAAAGTGTAAAGGAATTAGATAAAAATGTTATTGACAGTAATATATTTTGTTCCAAAGGCATTATTGAAGCCAATTATAACAAACAATCTGACGAAATGTTTAAATTAAGTAACGATCCAGCAACTTGGAAAAAACTTAGTTTGTCAGATCGCGACTATTTAGCTGCAGTTGGTCCACCTACTATGCCATCAAAGTTTCCCCATGATGAACATGAGAATCGCTCTTTTCCGATTTCACTTTTACAAAAAACCTTACCTAATAAAGAAACAGTAAAACGCGACTGGCTTGTATGGAGTACACTAAAAAATGCTTTATTTTGCTTTCCGTGTTGTCTTTTTTTAAGAGATGATGAATTTGAGCCATCGGGTTTATGTAGAAATGGTATTGAAAATAATTGGAGAAAACTGTAAGACAAGATCGATAACCACGAAGGGAATACGAAGCACATAGAAAGATATTTATTATGGAAGGACTTGGTAGAAGCAATAAATGGTAGGAAAGGGATCGACAAAGATTTGCAAGTTTCTATTAACACAGAGAAAGAAAAATGGAGAAAACTCCTTCGGATAGTAGTAGATATCACATTGTTTTTAGCAGAAAATAATTTGCCATTTAGAGGCATACACTCAACGATCGATCATGATGACTGTGGACTTTTTATTTCAACTGCAAAATTAGTTAGTCATTACAGCGAAACAATGAAAAATCATTTGGACACTATTAAGGAATATAAAGACAGTGGTAAAAAAATGTCTGCTCACTATCTATCTCCACGAAGTCAAAATGAGTTTTTGGAAATTTGTGCCAAAAAAGTTCAACAAAAAATTATTGAAGAAATAAAAATATGTCAATATTATTCAATTATTGTAGACGGTACTCCAGATGTGTCACACAAGGAACAATTGGTATTCATTATAAGATATGTTTTTGAAAATGCTGGAACTTGGGATATACAAGAACGATTTCTAACAATGGTTGACTATGAAAAAAAAACAGGAGCTGATATTGCAAACAAAATAGAAGAAATTTTAGTTGAATGCAATTTAGATTTAGCACTATGCAGGGGCCAAGGTTATGATAATGCAGCAAATATGTCTGGCAAATACAACGGCGTGAAAAGTAAAATAATAGAGAAGTATCCTCAAGCTTTGTTTTCACCATGTAGTGCTCACTCTTTAAATCTATGTGGAGTACATGCAATGGAAACCAGCCTAGAAGTAAAAACATTTTTTGGAAACATTCAAAAGCTATACAACTTTTTTTCTTGTAGTCCATCAAGATGGAAGATACTTCAAGAAACTGCTGGTCTTTCACTACATTCAATATCAGCTACTAGATGGAGTGCCAGAATTGATGCTGTTCGTCCATTATCTAAAAATTATTCCGGTATTCTAAATTCACTTGTTCGTGTTAAAAATGAAATTAATCTACCTGCAGATAATCATGCTGAAGCAGATGATCTGATTTCATGGTTACATTCCTTTGAATTTATATTGTTAACAACTATCTGGTACAAGGTTCTTCAGTGTATTGATGATCGAAATAAAATTCTTCAGAGCAAAAAAACTTCCATAGATGAAAGTTCAATGCATTTTCAACAATTAGCTACAGAAATTCAACAGATAAAAGACTCTTGGAATGATTTATTACTGGAGTCGAAATCAGTAGCTTCCACTTTGAATTTAACGACAGAATTTAAGATAACTTCAAGAGTTCGAAGAAAAAAACATTTTCACGATGATATTTCAGATGAACAGCCTTTCCATGATATTGAAAACAAATTTAAAGTTGAAGTGTTTGTAACCGCATTAGATAGGCTTTTATCAGATATTTATGGTATTCAAGCAACTATGGAGAAAATAACAAACACATTTTCTTCAATAATCAATCCACCAGATACAGAAGAACCAAGTGCTGAATATTTCAAAGCTCAAGCTAATATAATTTCAAGTGTATATCCTAATGACGTGTGTGCTAATGTATTAAAAGAGGAACTACGAATTTATTTCAAAATACACTAAGTATCAACAATTATTTTTAACGATAGCGAAATTGCATCGATTTCTATTCTTAATCAAATATATAAGAAAGGACTTCAAAATATACTACCTCAAATATGTATTTGTCTTCGAATACTTTCTACCATTCCCACGTCTGTGTCAACGGGAGAAAGATCTTTCAGTAAACTGAAATTAATAAAAAGTTATTTACGTTCAACTACAGCAGAAAACCGCTTAAATCATTTAATACTTCTCTCCATCGAACACAAGTTGGCAAAGACCCTAGATTATGATGATATTATTGACAGCTTTGCTGAAAAAAAAGCTAGGAAAAAGGTGTTCTGATATACATTTTAATATTTTATTTAAAATAATAAAATAATATA